TGCAATCCAAAGGTCATGTCGTTCATGTCCACAGTTCCTACTTGGAACAACTGGGTTATGCAACGGCCAACCATCATATGAGACGACAATACTCCACTTTGTCCGAGGTTTACGCATCGGTGAAGGCAAGGGTCCCAGTTTTACGCGCCGAAAAAAGAAAACTACCCTGCTTCTACTCTTCAGTCAAGTTTAATGCACCGCGACGTCCTGTGAGTAGTCTAGATAGAAAACATGATACCACGTTGTTAATATGCTGAATATTTTCATCGCATCAGTTTTGCCGCATATTCTGATACCTGGTATCTGGCACGCGCTATTGGCAACACGTCCGTGTGGCAGGTGGTGTAGTGGGCTGGTCGGGTTGTCTGCCGTAAGCAAACCGAGCAGAGCATAGGGTGGACTTGGAGCAGAAAGAGAGATACAGATAGCGCCCGCCATTAAGAACCTCTAGGGTTGGCTGAGGCTGGCTGGGGTTCTTAGTTCCTCTTGTCGGCTACAAACGGCCTCTACATAGGTTTTAGTGTAGGGGTTCTTAACCGGACTAATAAATGGTGCCCAAGTTCTTATCTTCTGATCTTTTTCTAGGGCCAATTTCTTAACGGTGAAGTTCTTAAGTGCCGGAGCTATCTTTAGTGTGTTTCCCGGCTTCTTTTGGCCATAAAGCTCGAGTAGATTGATCCGAAATCTGGCAGACGAGTGAGCTAGGCGGGCAGGTAGTAAAGCTCTGAGACCTCGTACCTCGACTTTCCGCGGGGCTCCTAAAATGATCTACAATATTTGTTGAGGCTGTTGTTCGTCACATCTGACTGATGAATCATCAGCTGAGGCGTAATATAGCCCGCTTCCGAAAATGTATCTGATATTTTAAGGCTAGGGTTAGGGACCCATCTATCTCATACCAGTCAACACAGGGTGCAAAGAGTATACCTCCTACATACTCAGACCTCATTGTGGCTAGCGGAAAACCGAAGAACGAAGACGAGGCAACCTACACCACGGAGCCCGCAACGGTAAACCCACAACGAAACCGGCGTGCAACGTAACGTCACACACAAAATCCTCTAAACCAAATCTTCTGTCTGGAGTGCCTTTCAAAACACTCTCTGTAGACGACGCTGTGGAGACGACACACAAAGAAAATAATGTGATGATCTTTACAGGAGAGTCAAGCCGGGGCCATCGAGGGCGTCCGGATCGAACGGTTGCAAGTTCACTGTCTGGCAATACGGGTGGACTGAACATGTCTGGCCTATACACGATCTAGCGTTGATAGCACGAGTGAGAAGTTGCCCAGCGCCCACCAGAAAACATGGGAACAAACCATCTGCAGTGTTGACAAGGCACCCATCTTCAAAACAACCAGCAGTAACAGTAGCCTTCCGTCCTTGATGATGCGCTCCTCTTGCTCTCGTTTATCATCCTTCCCCGAAACTGGCCTCCAGGCGCTACCGTCCATCATCGCCTGTGTCCATGTTCCCGCGGATCCTTTCGTTATTGCTCCTCATCCGTCGCCTATCTGCAACTTCGTGTGATATACCTCCTCCTTAGCGGAAGCCCCCTGCCTCCGGTTTTCGTTCATCGCGATTGGAAGGCTCATCTATCCCAGCCCGCCCGTCTGCAAGCTCCTCTCCATCCTTGTCACCGAGTGCAACTTACACACCGGGTGCATGAGAACATACCAGCTGGCCTACAGAGTATCATCTGCCTGCGCGCACATACCGAGCCGCCGACACATGCCCGCTCCTCAAGAGCGCGGACATATACTGAAATAAACAGGGGGGGTGAACCTAATGACCCTTGCGAGGACCCAAGTCGACCACCACCACGGGTGGGATCGGGACAGTTGTCGGGACAGTTGGAGGAATGAATCGGTCTCCTTGAGGGCGAGCCGGCCTTACAATAGCCGAAACGACCCTCCCCGCGTCGCACCGACTGCGCCGATATCGCCCTTAGTCGGGCGAGCGGGAACGAACGGAGGACAAGAAGCACCTCGTATTGCGGAAAGGCTAAGTGCTTGGTTGGGTGCGCCAATCAATCAAGTCTTGTTTTCCGATTTCGGTTTTGCCAAGTCTCCTGATATAGTGGGGTTCTTTGTTGGCAATTCCAAGTGACCGTAATCAGCTTGGCCAAGCTTGCAAGCGAGGGGGCAATAAGCGAAGAGCCAGAGCCGTGGCCGCCCACACACCCGGAGCTTGTTTCCCAAAAATATGCGGCTAGCCAGTACTGGTTGATGTGCCTCATGTTAACAAAGAAGGAACTTTGGCCTGCGGGATGAGATTTCGAGTTTCATGTTCAACTTCTTTCTTGTCTCGTGGACCCCTCGTGGCAGGAAGCGAGGCTATATTCTTGGGCCAAACTTCCTCTTTTATTGAACAGTCAAATCTGTAGCTGCCTGGCCGGTTCCGTATCGCCGCGTGTGTCCCGACCTCAACCATCGCGTCACCACCCGCCAAATCGATTACCTGTTAGGTGCTGACTGTGGACATGGACAGTCAACGAGACCTTTCCCGTTCGTTGCTCAAGGCGAGGCTCCTGGAGCAAGCGGCGGCGAATGGAGTGCCACCGATTGGGATAACTGAACACCTCAACAGACCCGTCACACCTGAAGAGGTGGAGACCTACGCCGACCCCGACCTAGGCTTCGGTGCCGGCGCGGCCAGCCTCACGCGCACCCTCGAAGGCGCACTTCAGTCCCTGGTTGCGGGCGTACCGTTTGTGAGACGCGTGGTAAGCACTCTTACTGCATCGACGTTGGGATGGATTTCCACTCGTGAAAGGGCGTGCCATCGTGTGCACGTCGACCGCCACCTCAGTGTCCGCCCGGAAACTGTATGATTTGATGTTACATCTTGTCGTGGCGGTGGTAAGTTTGGCTGAACACGAGGAGGCTGCAACCACAATGCCCGTGTCATTGCTATGACGTTTGATCCCCCGGCAGGTACCCGAACAAATCACGGAAAGACTTTTCCTGCTGCCTGGATCTCCAGTGATGGAGGACATCGACCGCCGCATGACCATATCCGAGGGGCTGCTACACGACGTTGCCCAACAGAACTGGCAGGGGGCTCCTCTGCATGTAAGCGACGCTATCACTACGCATATGGCTGTGCGGTTGTGCGGTGTTGTCAACGTCGAACTGAGCAGACTGTACTCTTGTGTCTCATGTGCTGGCCCCTTAGCTGCTAGTTCAATAGTCTACCAACGTGCGTGAAGATCCCGGCGTCCAGCGAGTGTGGTTGAGTCAAGCACACAACGTGAAAGTATTTGTGAACCGAACGTCGCTCGCGTCACGATTTCTGGATCTATATTGCCAGGTTGTCATGGATACCGCCAGATTGGTCGAGGCCGACATCGTGTTGCTGGACCTTAACCCCTCCCTGAGCACCATCAACCGGAACATGATCATGTCTTCGGACTACATAGTCATCACCACTCGCCCGGAAAATTTTAGCCTTGAGAACATGGGCACCTTCACAGACAAAATGGCGCATAATGACGCAGAGGCAGACGTGTACGGTGGATCGTGGCTCCAACAGATGATTTACAACATCAGGCCGAGGGTGAACCACGGATTTCAAGGCGCCCCCCCAAGGTGCGATGTTCTGAACTTTGAACCAACGGATGTCTTTCGCCTATCGATAGCTTCAGATATCAACAATAAGTGATTCCCGTGCTCGACACCTTGGCAGCACGTCGAGGAGCACGAGCGCGTGCATAAAAAAATTTAGGTTTTGAGCAAAAAAATCATTTCACCGCTCAACACTGTGTCAGGACAATCGTGCGTCGAGACCACCAGTAGTCGGACACGGTTTGACCTTTGAATAAGATTGCAGCAACTAGTCTACGTAGCAGTAGAAAAGAATCCATCTCTCCGTGGCATGTATTCTCTTGTTCTAGAAATATTCCGGAAGCATGCTAGGTCAAGGTTGACCGGGACATCTACGTAGAACGTGTGTAGCTTCTGGAAGCCTTCTGGAAACTTCTGAAATCTTCTGGGGGCTTCTGGAAGCGTTCTAGATCTAGGTTGCAGTTGATACTCTTCTATGTAGGAGGGCTTCCAGAAATCATTCTGGAAGCATTCTGGATCTTTCGTGTGATTAGCTTATTTGTCCGGTATTCGAGAAGAGTGGTGCAGCCCTAAGCTCGCCCACCACTCTCACTCCTCTTCAGTACCAGCAACATCTGATCCGGGAGTCAGCGATTAATAAAAACATCTTCATATTTCTGTTCCAAGTCTCTCGCGGTTGGAACCGCACAGAGTGTGAACCTCTGAGGTAGACTACACAGCCTACCGGCATCTGCAGCATTGTACTGCTGCTAGTGCACAGCGAAATATACGCTGACACTGTTGCTTTGAAATTGACTTCAGAGATGGTGAAATGATGAATGATGAAAATCGACTGGACAGGGCTTGAATCGACCGCAGACATTAGTATTTTAGGATATATCTACACAACACGTACTCCTCTTGCAAGAAATTCGTGTTTACCCTTGTATGGCAGGTACCCACTGCCTGATACCGTGCCGAAGGTCTTGGGTTGTGTCATCGCCGACTTCAGCAGCCAGGGAAATGTCGAGAGGACGCCTAATCCTGCGTGCCCGCCGCCCTTTTTGTCCACCCAAGTGAACGGCGTGTTTCACGATAGCGCTGCCGGCGCGATACAGAACGCAATAAACAGGTAGGCGAGGCGAGCGCTCGCGACGTGGCGCTGATCGAGGATGTTTTTGGTCACTCGGGATGTTGAATACACTTCCTACGGAACGAAGTTTGTCGGCGGTGTGTAGTGTATCATCCATGCGCTATGAGTCAATAGCAGAATTGCCGTTGTCACTTCTTCCTGCCCACCTGTGGCGCCCGGCTGTGCTCGTCGCCCCGTGATCGAACGTGTGCTGTTACCAACAGGATCACAACCCGAATGAGTGGACTCATGACCGAGATCTTCAACAAAGAGGTGACATCGCCCCCGGGTCCCTTCCCTCACCCTCCTCATAACGTCCAAATGGCGATCGACAGCCCAGTGTACGTGGCTGCCGGGCTCACCTGCCTGCTGGGAAAGATTCGATCGTATGAATCGCTTGGGCCGCTCACTCATCGCTCTGGGATTCCTGCTCCGTTTATCACGCACGAGCAATGCGTTGACGTGGAAACTGACATTCCTCTCACTCAAGCAAAGTGAGTGAGTAGTCAAAAGTGACAAATTTGTGTCGGATAAATGACGAGACTTGCGTTGCGAAAGGCTTTAGACTAACACCGCCCAAGATCGCACTGATTGCGGCGAGCAACTGCCTGCCGCTGTATCGGCACAAGCGTGACTACGCTTTATATGAACTGGAGGAAATGGGGAGGCTCAGACGGCGAAATCTTGGATGGCCCTCTGCCAATTCACCCAAATAGGAACGACAAAGTAGGAGGTAACAGACTTGCGGGAAAAATGGGAACGTACCCAAAAATGAGAATTGGCGTTTTTCTTCAGAACCATCGGGTGTATATCAGAACCAAAATTATCCTGCGAAACCCCTTCGCCCCAGCTGTGAGATGAGCTCATCAGAACCGCCATGCTCCACATCACGCCTTCTCACGGGCGCAAAAAGCGATTCGTGCTGGTTTCGACCTGATTTCTCGCGATGCTGGCTACCTCGGCGATGCCGAGGACATACAGCTTGAGCAACAGCTCATTCGAAAGCTGCTGTAAAGACCTACAGCACTGTCAACTTTTATGGGGGGAGTTGCAAAGGCGTGGTTTGCTTTCTAAAAACAAACGCCCATTCTCATTTTTGGGTACTACTACGTTCCCATTTTCCCGCAAGTCTGTTAGGTGCTAATCGTGCTGGTTCGAACGCCCGTTGTTTTTTTTCTGCACAAAACGTTGATGACCGCCGCTATCTACAGCGCAACACAATTGGTAAAGCGCGCGGCGGACTTCAGGAGGCGCTACGACCAACTGGCCTGGAACATCCTCAAGCTCATGAACAGCGACCCAGGCGGAAGATGTTACGGCCACCTCGACTGGGCGCTGCTGGACCGCCGGGAGTGGGCGGGTGGGCCCACTCGTGCGGACGACGGTTGCCCGCATGTGCAGAATGCGCAGCCAGGGTACTGAACGGTTGCATCTTGTTGATATAATCGAGACACGGATTACAGCCTGGCTGGCGACAGCAAGTCGAAAGGCTAATAGTTTCCTAACACACGTCGGCTTGGACAGTGACAAATACCGTTTGCAGCATCCTGGTACAAACCGCCACAGGATCACTGACACAGAGTTTCCCGATGTGGAGTTCAGACGATTCAAGATGAATTTCGCAACAGTGAGGATTGGGGAGGGGTGGGGCCAGGTAGGCACCAGGTCATGGGGGCGATGCATTTTAGGCAAGGAGGAACACGCTGACTTTTCTATGCGGCATGGACACGAAGGATACACATCGTTTCTAAGTAGGGACGTGAATAAGAGCGTATTGTACGCGGAAAAGAAATCAAAAAGGCAACAGCGGTATTCAAAAGTAGTAGCTTGGGTGTTGTGGGGGCTACATTAGACTATGGCAGCATTTCAAGGGATTACAATCTGTGTTTTGATGCACTCGGGTACCCCGATACTATTTCACGCTCGCCCAGGTATTCTCACTTTGGTGCAGGCTACTCGCATGCGCCGAAACGGTTCCATTGGCAGTCGGCGTTGCAAATTATGCCTATACGTTAGATTCACGAGTAGTGTCGGGATTGCATTCCGAGGGGGGTGGCGGATGGAGCTCTTCGTGGATTCGGACTTCGCCAGCAAGGCGACCGACCGACGGCCTGTTTCTGGTGCAGTGATGATATCCGGTCTGTGTTGTGTATTTAGGTAGGACGCAAAAAGAGCGACATTCACTCTTCGGTAGGCGGACTATGTAGCCATGGCTAATGGGATGAAAGGGGCTAGTTTTTAGCAGGTAGTCTCCGGCTCCATCGACATATAGCCAACAACCCCGGCTGCCATCACGAACCCGAAGCATATCGGCGTCCGCCGCCACTTGAACCGTGAGCGCGTAGCGCGTGGGGGGGTTGAGGGCGTCCACGTACGGTCGGGCATGCAGAGCTCTGGTGTTCTCACCAAACCACGCCCCAAGGAGGTTTTCTGGGCGAACCGTGACATCGTGACGGAACACTTAGTGAACTTTCGGTGTAGTATTGCATTTGCTTCTGTTCTAGCTGTAGGGAGAATACTGTTCCTGATGTTGGCATTAATGCAGTGCATGGAAAACTCAAGCGAGTGGGGGGAGGGCGGCCATATTCTGTTTGTTCGCGGAGATGGTAGCGATCGCTCATTTTTTTTTTACGATTTGTTCGGATGACTACTGGCGAGTTTGTTTTGTTTTTTTTCTGAGGATTCTTGTGCTTCGAAGAAAGGAGCGCGCTCTACCCCTTTTTTCACGCCGTGCGTGCCACTACTGTCGCGCGTTTTTTTTCGCCTCGATTCACAAGGTTTGAGAAATTATGGTATTCTGGAATAGTGTGTGGCGAATTTGATGGATTCACACTTGAACTATGGATAAAATTGAATTTCGGAAATGAAGTAGATGATGCAGAATAAGATCATGTGTTGAGAGAGAAGCTCTCTTGACCAGCGGCGCGGTGAGTTTTGGTAGAGATAACGTGTGAAGAGGTGATCCATATGACCGACGTGTGATAGGGATAGGAATTTGACGCCAGACGTTCAGGAGTTTTCGTAGAACACTTTTTATTGGGAGATCGACAGATAGATTTCGTAACAGCGCGTGTCATTGGGAGATCATATTGATTTGAATGATAGATTATTTGAGTAGGCAGTATGTGAAGAGTGGGAAGGGAAGAGTTCGGTCGGTAAATTCGGAGGACCGAGCAGGGTGGCTATTGGTAGCTCGTGTACCCCAATACTACATTATGGGAATCTGGGGGTATTTGACATGTCCTGCGGAGTCGCTCATACTGAGTTCCCACAAGGGCTCTCGCTTGTGGATGCCACTCTAATACAAATGTATGGTATTTCGGTCAACCTTTGCCGGCGCACCTGACTAGAAGCTGCCCTCATGAAACAATCTGGGAGAGTAGCCATATGGGCATCGAACTCCCAAGAAGAACACATACATCTATTTCCCGAAATATGCGCCGAAACAACAATAGACCACCTGCATGTTTGTCTTGCCCCATACCTTTCGGACTGGCTTCTGACCACGGAAGGCACGCGTGTCAGTTGGACCAGTACGGACATAAGAAGGTACCGAGCGGAGACCGGAACGGTTTTCATAATGTGAAGACAACAATACGTACTTACAAGGTTCCCCTGCTGGAGTTAGGTGAGTTTCCTCCCGGGGGCGACGCAAGAGAACATGGCCAATATCTGTACTCGCCGTCACATGGTTGCATCTCAACGCATGACATTGGGTAGTGTTGCACGAGTCGCGCTCGGGGATACAGTTGTATCGTGGGTGATTTCGCGGAGTTTCCGGTGTAATCCGCTGAGGGCTGGGGGCATTCCCTAGCATTGGCCAATCGGCGGGGTGTACGCGAGGACATCAACCCTAACATGACGGGTTGAGCCACGACCAGCCTGATTGAACAGGCGAAGACAGCAGCAGCGGGTCAGGGGCAATCGAGACTGCATTCTTTCAGGTGGGATATGAGCTGGTGGTTCAGGCGTCTGATTGAGACGGAAAGGGAGCGCTAGCAAGATCTCGAGCCGGGAGCTGTTTCTGTGCCCGAAGGCAGAGTTGGTGTTTTGGGGTACAGATGCGACAGAAACCAGGGCGTCTGGGGCATCAAGGGCGCGGTGGTTGTTGGCGGGGTACCGGGAGGCTATCGTGGAGGTGACTTCGGTTGTCGCACTGGCCACGAATACTCACCGTGGAGCGTCGAGGTCGTCAATTCGCTTCCGGGGTCCGTGTTTGCAAACATCCGTAATAATCTAGTTGGGTACGGGGTAGCCCACCCAAGCGACGCTATAGGAAAATGGCGTCGCCGTTTGAGGCACCTTTGCGGTACTCGAGCGTGTGACTGTAGGACGCCAAAAGTTCCACCCAGTGCTCAGCGCAAGGGCTGTGTACGTCAGCGTATTGTTGCCTGAAGAAGCACGGAAGTGCCTAGATAGACACGAAGGCGTTTGATACTCCGCACAATGGCATAAGCATCGAAGTCCAGCGTAGTCCAATTCACAGGTGGCCACTGGTACGCGTTGTACATACCTAGACTACGTTGCATCCCAACGGCACAACGTACCTACTTTGTGCAACCCAACGGGCACAAGATGCCGAGCTTATGCAACCCTGCGGGCACAAGGTGTTCACTTTGCAGGCACAAGGTGCTGAGTTCTTGCAACCTACGGCCACCAGGTGTTGACTTTGTGCAACCTTGACGGCGCAAGGTGTTGACTTTGTGCAAACTTGAAGCACAAGGTGTTCCAGCATGGCGTAGCCACAAGTATTTTTCGTAGCCGTCTCGTATTTTCGTGTACTTCTTGCAACCTGTTCATGCACACGGCACGGCGACGCGCTCAAATTAATCAAGCAACAATTGAAGCAGAATAATTTTCCGACCAAAGACAAACGGATTCCGAACACCGATGCATTCCAAACGGCTAAATATAATGTCACAACAGCAGAGTAGCAGTCAACGGACCCCAAACACCGCCTCCGCCTAAGATATAGTCTGCTGTATTTCCAACCAATCCAGCAACCTACGTAAAACGAGGCGTCCACTGTACCCCCGTCTCCCGCAATTGCTGACAAATGCAACGCGCCTAGAAATGGAGTGCATGCGCTACACAGCATGGGTTGGATTGCTGCGGCTCACTCGGATGGTCTTAAACCCCCGCTTTCACAAAAATCCAGAGGGATCTCATTCTCGAAAACAGATGATCAAATCCACCTAGAGTACGTCCCCGAGGACTGATGCGGAAACAACCGATGTCGAATTTTGCGACACAAAATTACAAATCCGCTGCCAAGCGCAGTCCCGTCAATTCATTGCACAACAGTATTTGCGTCTGGCAGTGACATAACAGCGAAGCTTCTCATCCAAAAACCGTGTCAAGCTCCATAGGCAACAAGAATCTCGAAATTTGCCCCGGTGGTTTGAGACAGATGTCAACACGACAGCGTGGTAACCCAAAGCAAAACAACACGAATATCGTCCATTTGTCTCCCAACTCCCACTGATGTGTCGCGAGTCTGTCCACCTGGGAGTAGGCGTATCGGGAAATGAAGCCGCTAGGGAAGAGGGGTCGTCGTGTTGTTCCTGCGTTTTTCCTGCGTTGAATGTAGGGTTGAACATTGGGATTTAACTTTGTGGGATAACCGACGTCATCACTGAGAAGGCCGCAAGCTAACCTCAAAACACTATCATATCTATTATATATATAATAAGAGCTACAGTTTGACAAGAAAAACATGGGTGCGAGAACATTGACCATATTCCGCCGGCATGCCACAGAGCCGCGTCGAACATGGAGCAATAGCAGTCTCATGAGAGACGCGTTCTATGCTACTGGTCCTGAAATTTCTGGTCACTGTTCACTCTGAGTTCTGACGGCGCACCTCCAACACATAGGAAAACGACCGAATTTATGGGATACTTACGTAGTATCTTTCCCAAGAGATGAGATCAACGTTTCTGGATGCCCCTGCACCTACCAACAATTTGGCGGAGATTGGATTTGATAACGAAAAACCAACCACCATCCATAAACAACCCTCACCGAAATGAACAAGTCGGACTAAGTCGACACCGGCACCGACCATGGTGATGGTGACATCGCTCTCGCCGCAGCTCTCGCGGCAGCTACCGTTGTCGCCGCCTCCGCCGTTCTGGTCATGGCCAGTGAACCCGCCTGGTCGTCACCGGCGCTTTCTTTGGGATCGTCCATGAATGTGTACTGGAGGAAGTGCTCATCAACATCCGGCATCTGTCGCATATTATACTCTACAGCAGGTGGATTGTCGGTCCCGGAGCCTGCACCACGACTAGTGCAGTAGAGTCCAGAGCCTGGGTAGGGGCAGGGCGAGAATATACACTCGATGTTTTCAATATTTTCACTTCGGGCGCACGAACATGGAAGATCGCACTTACTTGTACGCACCCCATCTCGAATACGGCATGCTCCTGTTCTGTTGAAGACACACGAGGTTCGTCAGTGCAACACTGCGTTGTACTCCGCAGCACATTCGAATGCTTCCCGTTGAATATGACTTCAGTCAATCCCACTTCAATCTGTGTCCCAGCCCTCTGCCTGTATGTGCTGATGTCCGGAAAATGAACATCTACAAATGAAAATCAAACGAGTCGAAGAATACTGTGAACAAAACAACCTTCTCGCAGAGAATGCACACACGACGACATCATCACGGCAGCAGGAGCGAGGTCCACGAATAGCATTATTTGAGGATGAATAATCAACCGAGGAAATACGCTTGCCATTTCGAAGTGAAGGGTGTCGGACAAAGATATAGCACTAGCCCGGGAGAATCGTTGTCAAGAGAAACTCCGCTAGCCACTGATCATTCACGGGGGACGTACAAGTAGATAGAGCGTTTTATCGCGCACGTCGAACGGATCAGCTTCACGTCGTGGGTATACGCAATGGCAAAGAAAGGCCGTAAGTTTCGAGTAGATCAGAACGACGACATGCGGACAAAATCTCTTGTACGGCTTCTTCTGTTTTACCTCACGGACTCCCGTCACACTAGGAGCGTGGAGATGGTACCCCAGTGGTCTTTGCGCGCAACGCTGTGCATGCTGAAGGCATCCGTGCAACACGCCCTTTGGCATGCACAGCCAGACAGAAGGAAGGGCATCCTGTTTCGGCGGAGTCGCTGCTGCACATCATTTTTAATCTAGGCACACCGCAAAGCTGTATTCTAGGCATATTTTCGTTCAAGACGGAATATTTTATCGCGCATTATTATTATTATTGTGGTTTATCCAAAAGGGTACGAACCTGTGGGCTAACTACGTACGTACGCAATATCCGATGCTGCCTTGAGCGCCGGCGTGGTCATTCACCTAGAAACATCACAACAAACAAACTTCGTAAACGTTCATGTGTGTGCCGTGCGTGGGCCCTGACCATGCCGTACAGGCATCAGAATTACATTTATATTTGTAGTGGTTTTCTCGCTCGTCCGAGGTAGCGGCAAGACGGTTTCTCTAGGATCCCCGTTTGTCTGGAAAAGGGGTGATTATACTCGCTTTTGTCTAATTCCTAGAAAACATCAGATTACCACGTGTGCATGTAACTGTACTGCTGCTGTTGTTTAGGCGTAGAATGGATCAGCCGAAAAGCAAAAATAGTTCATGCATGTTGGAGAAATGTTTTACTTCCATGTGCTGCTATTAAAACAATCATGGAAAGTTTACGGGAATAAATGGGTACTGCAGCTGACAAAAGATATCACACCCCATAACCAACTTCTCAAGCTCGGATAATCCATGCAGAAACAGCAGTGGCGGTGCAGAAATTGGCGACACTTCAAGAGGACGATCGGTACCGTGTTCTTTCTCATGCAATTTCGTTTTTTCTCACGATAAGGATTTTTATTATTGAGAAGAACGTGTTTTTCTCGTCGTGCCTGTTTCCTCATGAGTTCACATCTATACGCCGCTCACGAGCCTCCCATGAGTTTCTCAATGAGAAATTTCTAGAAAATTCTCGTAACCTCATACCATTTTTATTACTGATTTTCTTATGAAAGAAAGGCTCACCAACCAACGTCGCTTCTTTTCGCTATTTAGCGCAAATCGATTGCTGCTTCAGAAGCGAAAGAATCTTTCGTAGAACAAAGGTGCTAAGGAGTGTGGCTGCTAGCATGAATAAGGTACATCTTATTCTTGATAGGATGCGGGTCGGTCAGGAGGTATACCCTTCTGACCCCTACCCCCTTAGAATTGTCTACTCTGTGTACCCCCTGAGATGAAGTTGGATCCCCACTTCATCCCAGACCCTTGCTGATCGTCTCTCAGCAATAACAAGCAACTTTCCCATCTCAACGTGGTCGTGGACAAGCGTGTCAACGACAGAACCTTCATCTATCTCTAGGAGCAAGCCACCGCCCACGGCATCACTCCTTGAAACTTGGCGTCAGCTGGCATTTCACGGTAAGCGAGTGCTGGACGCGGCTTCCACACTGCTGTGTGTTGTTGCCACGCTTTTTTCACAACCACCGGGTTGCTTGTTATTTGGTCTCACCACCCACGAGAATCTAGACTTAGCCTCTTCTCTGCTTCCTCTCCTGTAGAGATGCTGGCTTGTGATGTTTTTGCGAAGCGCCCGCGGGACTGGGACCTTGCAAAGGATACGCGCCTCGGAGGCCATCGCGATGTTTTGGGTGATTTCTCGTACGTTCGCCGTCCCTCGAAAGCTATTTTGTCTGCATCGGCGGTCCATGAAGTGATTTCTGTGGCGGATACCCTCTGCATGGTGCGTCCTGAGATGCTGGCCTTGTGTAGTGGGACCCGAGATGTGCTTCCCACGTCTGCTACCACCTCTACTGCATTCATGTCGGCGTATCGGCCGATGTCCGCGGATTTTCCTGTTGTGCTCTCCGATTGGACACCGCTTGCATCGACTTGGAACGCGATGTGTGCACACAAATTGGGTGTCAGCCGCCCCACCAGCCTTCCCTCCATTTTTCGAAATCACATGGCACTTTTTTTCGGGGAATCGTTCACCCCCAAAGCATTTGAATTGGAAACCTTTCAACAGCGCAATCCCACAGCGGTCTTTGCTCGCACTTCGGCACCAGTTGCGGAGGAACGCCGTGCTGCTCTGCGTGCCTTTTGGTCGGAAAAACCTCGTGTCTCCATGCAACACGGGCCCTTTTGTGCTAGCTTCTACTGCTGTTTGTGCGTGGCATGGTGTGCTTTTGGACGCTTTTTCTGCTTGGTTGGATCCGCTTCAACCTCGTGTGCACCAAGCTTTTATCACTGGGCGTATGCTATCTTGTGGATATCTCCGCCTTTCGCATGGACCTCGGCTTGTTCTTCCCGAAGTTGCACCCGGCTTTACTGCTTCTGCTGCTCTTGGTGCTACTGCCTCAACTGCGGTTGGTTATCCTACATCTACTGTTGTTTCTGGCCCTGCTGCCCTTTCCAAAATCGATCGTAGCTACCCCCTCTCTGGCCCTGTTCTTGATAACAAAGAGGACACCATGTCCAGCGGCAACGTGGAACTCCTGGGCGACAATGTGGAAATCCTCGACTACGAACCCGAGGGCGAGGCTCCCACCGCAGAGCAGTTTCCAGCGGCGGGTGCAGAAGACGAGAGCCCCCCCATGTCCATGGTGTTCACCGTCGATGATTTGCTGGACAACATCGCCACAGCAGATCTGGCGGAACTGGAGCGGGCCTACAACACCGGACGTGTCTCTCTGGAGGATATCGTAGAAGCGGCTTATCTGTCGTCCGATTCCCCCCTTTTCGTTCCTCCTTTCTCGCTCCCGCCGGAAGACAGATTAATCCTCTTGCCCCACGCCGAGTTCATGGCGTACCAAAGGTTGAACGAGATGTGGTGCGACGGTCTTGCCGGGAAGATCGCAGAAGCGGAGGCGTGAGAGCAGGCGAAGCGCGAGGACGCGGAGCGCTTGGCGGAACGGGAGGCTGCTCTGGCCGCTGCGGCGAGGAAGCAGGAGGATGAGCGTGAGGCTGTTCGGGCTGCTGCGGCGAGGAAGCAGGAGGAGGAACGTGAGGCTGCTCTGCCTGCTGCAGCGAGGAAGCAGGAGGATGAGCGTGCGGCTGTTCTGGCGGAGCGTGAGGTGTACCTCCAAGCGGCAAGGGCGAAGCAGGCGGCGCTCCAATCGCGGCTGAAGGAGCTGGAGCCCCGCCACCAGGACCCGCGAGCAGCCCCCCACCCCCGTCGCCGTGTTATCGTTCCCCCCCCACGCAATCCCAGGTGCACATTGGTTCCCATCGTACCGCCTCGCCGCACGAGAAGGAGCGCGAGGTGGCGGCGTCTCCGACGAACGAGCAGGAGCGGAAGAGGACAGCGACTCCGGAGTTTTCGTTGACTTTGGGTTTTCCGGCTGGTGCTGAAGACGGGGCATTGTTTGCGGCGGCAACCACGGTGTACGAGTTCCACGTGGGAGATACAGCGNTCGGGCTGCTGCGGCGAGGAAGCAGGAGGAGGAACGTGAGGCTGCTCTGCCTGCTGCAGCGAGGAAGCAGGAGGATGAGCGTGCGGCTGTTCTGGCGGAGCGTGAGGTGTACCTCCAAGCGGCAAGGGCGAAGCAGGCGGCGCTCCAATCGCGGCTGAAGGAGCTGGAGCCCCGCCACCAGGACCCGCGAGCAGCCCCCCACCCCCGTCGCCGTGTTATCGTCCCCCCTCCCACGCAATCCCAGGTGCACCTTGGTTCCCATCGTACCNCCCCACCCCCGTCGCCGTGTTATCGTTCCCCCCCCACGCAATCCCAGGTGCACATTGGTTCCCATCGTACCGCCTCGCCGCACGAGAAGGAGCGCGAGGTGGCGGCGTCTCCGACGAACGAGCAGGAGCGGAAGAGGACAGCGACTCCGGAGTTTTCGTTGACTTTGGGTTTTCCGGCTGGTGCTGAAGACGGGGCATTGTTTGCGGCGGCAACCACGGTGTACGAGTTCCACGTGGGAGATACAGCGTTCCTGTCCCGCCCGCTGGAGATGCCTGCAGTAGGTGTCACCTTCCACGACGAAGATAAAATGGCAGCTCTTTCTGCATGGGCTGGCATCAAACAATTTCTCCGTGCACAATTCCCTCCACCGCACACCGTTGCTTTCGGGCACATCTACCACACACCGTACCTCGCGAAACTTCCGCCTTCTTCGCGGCAGTCCGTGTTCCAGCTGTTGTTCGCTCTCCGTCGTGCCACCTTTCATGAAGGTCCTCAAGGAACGTCGGTGGTTACCCAGGAGGAAGGACTCCAGCTGTCTCTTGCTCGTGGTGTTTCGACCAACGACTTCAAGCACGATCTACAAGCCCCCCGGCAGGCCTCTTCACGCCCTGCACATGGTTCTGGAGAAAACAAGGA